TCGCCGGTCGAAATCATTGTCTTCCCTAGGTTCTTTTTCGGATTTCTTTACAGAATCCAACAACAAATCTTAAAGAAGATAATCATGTTGACCAGCGACACCAGCAAAATCCAAACATTTCCTAGGGGGTTTTGTGGTTTCTAACAAAAAACCCAAAAATACAATGGAAATCCAAAACATCCAAAAATAATGGAAAGTCTAAAGATTATGTAATTTGCCTTGGGATTTCTGTGACAGTTGAGAATTTCTTATGCCAGTCCGTCATTAGGTTCAAACATAAACACAATTCAGTCGACATCCGCGGCACAATCTTGGGTATACACACTTCGTTTATTGCGGTTGCGCCTTGTTTGAAGTTTGCCTCGTTATGCTGCAAACCACCGATCTTGTGACATTTTTGGACATCCAAACGCACATTTGGCTGTGCTTCAGTCCCGCCACTTATTCCTTTAACAACTACCTACACAACAATACGTTACAATCACGAGAGACAGCAAGCTCTTAGAGACCTAGACTCTAGAACCCCTACTGTAAATCCCATAAACCCTACATCCTAAACCCCAAGCATTCAACTGTAAATCCCATAAACCCTACATCCTAAACCCCACACCTTCAACTGTAAATCCTATAAACCCTACATCCTAAACCCCACACCTTAAACCTTAAAGCCCCCCGAAATCCTAGACGCAAAACACTAGATCGACGAGCCTCGGGCGCGAAGCCCTAATTACAACGCTCGTACATGAGGATATAGGGTCTACCTGGACCCCAAATAACCTACCTTTGTAGGGCTCTCTATTATGATTTCTTTCTATATGTCCTTAACAAGGTAGGTTATCAGGGGTTCAGGTAGGGTTTGACCCTAAACCCTAAACCCTAAACCCTAAACCGTGTAATTCGAATTTAAAGAAAAGCGTACCCTAAGCCGCACAACCCGGCAGCCGGGGAGCAGCAGACGCAGGAGGTCGCTGGCCGTGACATACCGGTTAAGCCCGCGGAGGATGGCTGTAGTGGAGCCATGATCCTGTGTAGGGTTTTAGGGTTTAGGGTTTTGGGTTTAGGGTAGTTGTACGGTACAGGGTTTAGGGTTTAGGGGAGCCATGATCTTGTGGGCTGTAGTTCCCTTGCAGGTAATACATTCTGCTCGAAGATCGTATATATATATATATATAGATATACTGCATGCATGGATGGATGCAGGGATGGATGTATACACATGCTTTCGTGCTTCGGGTTTGGTTTTCCGCTGTGGGGCGTTTAAGGGGGGGAGAGTTTGATGTCAAAGGCTTTCGAAGGGCTGTAGGCCATGGGGTTGAGGCTGTGTTGTTGCTTAGGGTTCAGGGTGCAGGGTTCAGGATTCAGGGTCGGTTTAGGGTTCAGGGTTTAGGGTTTAGGGTTTAGGGTTTAGGGTTTGCCTAAACCCCCGAAAGTAGGCAAAATAATGGCCCCAGACCGATGGAAGGCTCTTATTCTACATACACTTTTGGGGGTCCAAGTAGGGTTTAGGATTCAGGGTTTAGGGTTTAGGGTTCAGGGTTTAAGACTGGTGCGGGCTTCAGGGTGGCGGGCCTTCGGGGCAGTTGGGGGAGTAGCAGAAAAGCTTAAGGCCCTTAGCAACCACCAAAAAAACCGGAAGAGCTGACTGTAGATCTTCAAGGCCTAAGGTTCCCCAAACCCCAAACATAGACCCTAAGCCCTTAACCCTAAACTCCAAACCCTAAGCCCTTAACCCTAAACTCCAAACCCAAAGCCCTAAACCCTAAACCCTAAACCCAAAGCCCTTAACCCTAAACCCTAAGCTTAACCCTAAACCTTAAACCCGAAGCCTTCAACCCTAAAGCCCTTGGGGGTCTCCAAGAGGGATTTAGAATTCAGCTTCCGGCCCCGAACGACAAGATGCACCAAATCAACCGGCTCCGCATCATTACTTTTGAGACCCCAACAAGGTTTAGGGTTTGGGGCCTAGGGTTTAGGCTTTTGGGGCTTTGGGGTTTATAGGGTCAAGGGCTTAGGGTTTAGGGCTTCGGGTAGCAGTTTGGGAGATCCCCCTCTCAGTAAACGCAGTTCCCCAGTAGACCCCTCATCATAAGGGTACCCTCGTTCCTCGTATTCGGCTGTGGTAAGGAGACCCCAAAAGAAGAACAGCAAAAAGGCTAGCACTGGGGAACCTAGTACCTAATTATAGGCCCTAAAGTAGTTCCTTTTTGGGGTTCATATATAGGGTTTAGGGTTTAGGGTTTAGGGTTTAGGGTTTAGGGCTTAGGGTTTAGGGTTCCTATAAGGCAACCCCAAAAAGGAACTACTATGGGGCCTATGGGTAGACACGATATACACTGCCAGGTATGCGCAGACCCATAAGCCTCGCCCTTAAACCGAAAACCCTAAACCCTAAACCCTAAACTCCTTAAGTCATATATATATATATATATATGTATTTATATATATAATAATATATATATATATATATATGTATATAAGTTTGAGTTTAATCAATATCTTACCAGATTTGAAACTCTGAACTCGAAACCGGGTAGATCTCTATACTGGTCTGCGGCGAGGATCGAGCTTCTCCACGCGCACCTGCAGGGCGCAGCCGAGAATCGGCTTCGGGTTTAGGGTTTAGG